CAAGATGCATTATGTAAAGGTACAATTCCCAATGAGAAATGTAATTGTGTTGTATACCTACAATGTACCAATAAAAGAATTTAATAAAAAAAATAGATTCTCCCCTTTTCACATTCATTCTTCTTTCCAATTGCAGTGTTGAGGGAGCTAGAGGCAGGATTGTGAGTGAGGAATGAAAATGGAGGAGCTAGGCAGAACAAAAGATCAAAGAGTTGTCTCATTTCCAGGCCCTGAAATCAATATCAGATTTGAGTGGAAGAGAGAGATGTTTACCACTGAGTAAGAGCTGAGTGCTTTGATTACATTAAACTGGAAAGGATATGGAGAAGAGATTGTTACAAGGCTTGAAAGTAATCAGAAAGCTATGGGGCTGTCGTAGACACGGCTAAGAGACAAAGAAAGGAAATATGTGACAGAACAGGTTCAAAAACACGAGAAAAAAACCATTTCCTACTTATACTCTTCATCCCGTGAGATAAATTGATTGGGACCTTATCTTGCTGGGTACTATATCTTGAAATTGCAATGTTGGCATTGGCGTTCCTTCCTAGATGCTAGGAGGGGGAGCGAGGTGGGGGTTGTCACTCAGGAATCATACCATGGGTGCTTCTGGGGAGCAATGAATGGAAAGTTCATGCCATTTGGTCACAGCCAGCCAGAGACCGTTCTCATGCACGTACCCAAGGCCATCTCGCCAGTCAGAGAAGTGGCACATCTAGGTAGATGGGACAACACATGGTAACAAGAGAGCCAGCAACACTGAATGCTTCTAGATACTATTGTACTGTGGCTATGGCTGATTTGTTTAGAAATTATTTGGAATCTTAATTTCTTCAATTGTCCTACCATCAACTTCTGGTACAGGACTGTGTACCTGGAACTATGTTTGTAGATTACAAATGTACTGAACTCAAAAAATGTACAAAAGCAAAATAAAAGAACATGATAACAACAATAAACATAATTATTCAGCATTTTCCTCAGGATTGTATACTTGTTAACTCATTTGTGTGGCTATACTTGTCTTACTCTGACATTAGTAAAGATTCCTGAACTTTTTAATATATTTGGTTTTATTTAAACATTAACAATTTTTTTCTGTGCATAGACATTTAAACATAAATAGGATTTCCTTATTCATTACTAAAGAATTATGTTAATTTAAAAACAGGAATAACATTCTTGACAAGCTCAACTTTTTGGGGGCACTTAGGATTTCCCATTTTTTATAAGCCTTGCAATACAAACTAAGCCTAATAACTTTCACCATTCAAGCTCAAAAATCAAGTACTATCTTCCACAAGGAAAAGCAAGAATATTTTTCTTTTTTTCCTGCTTAGAATAGTTTTATACAAAAACCTTTTTAAATATTTGCAAGACTTTTCACCCAGAGGAGGTGTTGTTTACATTGAGATTTGTGACTAATTTGTTTCAATTAAAGATACTCTACCAGGATTAAACATACATTTAGAAGATGGGGTCTTCATTATCATATGTGGTAGTTTACTGTATGTTCGAATTATTTAAAACAGATGTAAGTAAAACAAGCTTTGTTTGGGCTAGAAGTAGGATTTCTCCAGGATGAAGAACACAGAGACCAAAGGAAACATGTTTGTCTCCTGCACATGGTTTCTTGGCTAAGATGGCTTGCAATTTTATGGTTACTAGATTTATATCCTTTGAAATTATGGACATTGGATCAAATCCTCATGTTGGAAACACTCTAAGGTGACATTAAAGGAACATGTGATTGGAACAACGTACAATTTTTATTCAGGTTTGGATGACCAAAATCAAAATATTTCCCATAAAAGGCTGTAAATTTGCTAAAATGGAGCACAAACGCACTATAGTGTAATAATAGAAAGAAACTTTTAAAAATATCTGAAATATCTTTTCTAAATTTTAAATAGTTTCTAAGGAGCAACATCTCACCAATATTGAAGAATTATGTCGTGAGTTCAATTTACAAGTCTATGTGTAAGCAGACTTCAGGGACTGGTCTAAAATGAAATAGTAGCAGACAAGTTCTTTATTAATGCGGGAGGACTGTGGAGTTGGAAGACTTTTGAAGGTCTGAAGTCAGTATGTTAGGGGACTCTTAGATGAGTCATAACTGGTTCAGCGAGTATGGCTACCAATTTGTATTAGTTTTCCATTGCTGTGTAACAAATTACAAGTTTAGCAGCTTGAAACTACACCCACTTATCTCACAGTTGTATAGGTCAAAAATCTATGTATAGTGCAACTGAATTCTCTGCTTAGGGTCTCACCAAGCTAAAAATCAAGGTATTATAGAGGGCATTGATGATGAAGCTTCTAGAGACCAAGTGCCCAAAATACAACTCAAAACCCACTTATCTATTGTGAAGTGCCAACAGTTTAATCAAATCTGAATACTGAGGTTTTAGTTTAGAAAAAGCAACTTATACATTAACATCTTTTTTCTTAAAGGAAAAACACAGTCACAAAGCTTTCAATGGTCTAAACAGCTTTTTATTGAAAGGTGAAAGTTTGCATTTGGCCTGCTTTTGCACAATTAACATGATCTTTGCTGTTGTATTCATGCCGATAATTTGTCAAACCTTGGCTGGGGGGACTTGGCTCTGGTGCCAACAGAGAGGGCTCTGTGTGCCCACTTCAGCGTGTGTGCCATAGGTTGCCATCGCTGATCTAGGGCTTAGCTTCACTGTGTAGATTAGGTTGGTCTTGAACTCACTATGCAGACCAGGCTGGCCTCAAACTTGCAGCAATCCTCCTGCTCTGCCTCTAGAGTGCTGGGATCACAGGCATGTGCCACCATGCCCAGATCAAGACTGTTGTTCTTTTGGAGGGCTCGAGACTCTCTTCCAAGTGTATTTGTAGAATTCATTTCCTTGAAAGTTAGGGCTGAGTGCCTATTCTCTGCTAGCTGTTGAATCCCTGCATTCCTTGCCTCCAATCATCCAGAAAACAAAACAAAATAAAACAAATGCAAAACTGTACTTTTAAAGGGATGATGGGATTAGGTCAAGTCCACCATATAATATAATCATGGGAATTGTATTGCATCATATTTACAGTTTCTGCTCACATTCCAGGACAGGAGATTCTTCAAGGGCCTGAGTCATGGAGGGGCAGGTACCTTAGAATCTTGCCTGTCACACATGTGTTTATACACCAGTTACCTGAAAGTTTTCTTTCTGTAGGATTGGGTATATCAAGGAATTTGCATTCTGAAAAGTGACCAAGAGCTCTGAATTGTCTGCTTGTTACCTCCATTTCCCCTACAAGGTTTTCACATTCCTGTCTTTAAAGGCAATACTCTCCCTGCTTACCTTTGGATTATTAGTGCTGATATTCCAGGCTTAATTTTCCTTCTCTTCCTTACTCCTACATTGGAGACTACTTCAAGGTCCACGGAAAATATACAAGTTCTATTTCCATAGCTCTTAAAATAAAGTGCCCATATTTTCTGCTTACAAGGAGCTTGATGGCTCAGAAGTTTGTACAGAAATGCACTTTTCTTGAATTCTCAGACACAGTTTAAAACGCTGAGTAAATTTGTCCCTTCCCAGGTCCTTTTTTATATTAAATAATAATATTGTTCCTTAATCTTTGCGGTTTCTACAAAGAACACATATCTGACATTTTCTGAAATGAACTTTCTTAGCAACAGTATATATTTTCTCTTCTGGTTAAGATGATCATATTTAAGTGAAAGGTAAAATTTTATTTACATGTAGGATTTGCTTCAATTTTCACATACATTTTAAAGAATGTACATACTAAAGCTGGTAGATTACAAAGGAGGCTAATACTTATGTTCTCTTTACTGGAAAGACCTAGTTGTGAAAGTTTTCTGAAGAATTCAGGCAAATGCATCTGAATATTTTCCATCACATGGGAGATAGAGGATCAAGCATAGATTTTTCTCTTCAGAGCACTTCTGGCAAGAGGCTTTTGGAACAAAATCTCATATCCCTCCTCCAGTTTGGTTAACCACAACATCTGTTTGTCTCTATCAGCATTTGGCCATTGACCTACTGTCTCCTGTTGAAGACACCCAGCATCCTTCTTATGTCCAGGAGAAACAAGCAGTTCTCAAGTGATTTTAGTCTTGGAACCAGGCATAGGCCAGAAGTATGGCCTGGTTACATCATACAAATTCACCAGAAAGGGAATTAATTTTGTTTTTCTCTGATTTGAGGGGTTGAATTATTAATAGTACCAATTTATTTGAAAAGGTCAAAAGATTTAAACAGGAACACAGCATAATACTCCATTTCAACTCAGTATTGTGAGATGTGTAGATTTACTTTCTGATTGAAGAATCATCAAGGAAATTTAGTTGATTTTAACAAACTTAGAAAATGAGAGTTTAACTAAAATAGCATATATATATATATATATACCCTCATATATATACACACATTTACATATAGGATTTGCTTCAACTTTTCATACTCATTTTTAAGAATGTGTCTACTGAAGTTGGTGGATTATAAACCATTTTGAAATATAAACACTTTCATGAAGTTTTTTTGAAAAATATTTTTTAAATATTTAAGAATAGCTCATAATTTTGCTACAGAACTGTCGCTCTATCTAAAACTGATTTGCAGCTGCTGGCATAAAAAGGAAAGGTTCATGGGAGGCCAGTGCCTGTGGGGCTTTTGTGTTGGGATCTTTCCACACGGCTCAGAATCTCTCTAGGAGTTGCTACCTCTCTTTAAATTGCTGCATTGTCTGCTTTTGTGCTGGCCAGCTGTGACAGATCATTTGTGTTCTGTTCTTTTTTAATATTTACATTTTGTTTTGTTTTCCAGAAATTGTTTAAATTGCATTACAGCAAAAACAAGTCCGGGCCCTTTTTAAGGAACAAAAGGAATTGGACTGGGAGCCCAGGGGACTCCTTTGAAAGCTCCTCCCCAGCTTCCCACCGACATAGTTTCCCTTAGACTTTGAGGTAAGCTGTTCATGTGTGCATTTGTCCTTGCCTCATCTCTATTCTGACACAAGTACTGCCAGTCCCATAGTTCCAATTTCTGGCTATTGTCTTCCTCTCTTCTGGCCTCAAAATGAGTACTTTCAGCTATGCCCTCCCTCAAGTTTCTAAGTCATATCTTTCTTCTATGACTTTCACATGAAGTTGGCTTCTCTTTTGGCCCATCCTACCTCTTGCCCTCTTCCCTCTTGATCCCTGCCCCAGCTGGAGTCCTGTTGTATCACACTGTGCTAGAACTGAGGGAAGCTGGGGAACGAGACAGATGTGGTATCTATCCCAAGGAACCACAGACTAACTGAAACAAAATTCTCATTAACTAATTAGGGCAGCAATCTTTCATGCTATAATTCTAAATATTTTAAAATTTCAAAAACATTATCTTTTTATGTTTGGTTTTGGTGTTGGTTATTTTGAAATATTCCAACATATACTCATTTAGATTAAGGCTGATTTCTAACCTGGCTACCTCTCTGCTCTGAGATGCTCACTTGATTCCTGACCTGTGGGTCAGCAGGAAAATAAGGTCCAGAGGGGATAGCCTTGACTTGAGGCTGCCTCTTTCCTTGGAGAGATTCTTGCATTGAACTTTGACAATCAGTGGCCCTTCATTCCATAAAAATTTCAGTCCTATGAAAATGGCACTCTGAGACTCTACATGCTTACCAGAAAGAAAATAGGAAAAAATAAATCTGTTGCAGAAAAGAAAGCTTCAATACAGTTTCCCTCCATCTATCTACCTTTGTAATTTTGCCTGTAATATTCCTGGAAAATATCTTAGGCAAGTATGCAGAATCTTAGTTACATTTACAGTAAAATCAAATATAGGGAGGTGAAAGAAACTGTCCAGAGACTCACAACAAATGGAGTGTAGATCCTAGCACTCCATGCTTCTGTGTTCCTTTTGCCAAGGGATGAACAGAGCAGAAAGCATTCTCAGCCCATTCTCAGAATTCCCCATGTAGTGATTGTTCTGAGAACATTTTGCATTACAGCATTTGAGCTCCATTGGGGGAAGCTCTTCAAGGACATGGCCTTCTGATGGAGCCAGGAGAAGCTGGGGTAAGTGCTCTTCAGCTGAGTTACATGCTCTGTCTTTAGAGTGTTTGGTCACTTTAGACCTATGAAAGTCAGGGAAAGAAATGGTTAGGCATTCCAAAGTTTTTCAATATATTTCTTATCCTATAAATCAAACTTAGTTGCTACTAAAATTTAGCCTTATGGAAATCTCCACATTACATCTTCATGCTTTCAATCTGACTGTAGAAGTATAATCAGTACTATTATAGTATTTTAACTTTTTTATATAGGCCAATTTTTTTAGTTTATAATTATACATTTTACTACTATGTGACTCAAAAGACACAAATGCATAAAAATAATGATATGTCATTGAGTATAAAATGTATACAATTGTAATTTGTAGCAACATAAAAATGATCTAGGCGAAGTAGAGAAATATAAAAAATGGAAATTTTTGACACAAAAACTGGCTTCATAGAAGGAGTTAGGAATTGTTCTCTATTTTTTAGAAGAGTTTAAGAATAATTGGTGTTAATTCTTCTTTAAATATTGGCAAATCAAGAAATCAACCAACAACAAATTCTGGCACAACTGTGGGGAAAAAGGAACACTTCTCCACTGTTGGTGGGAGTGTAGACTGGTGCAACCACTGTGGAAATCAGTGTGGAAATTCCTCAAAAAACTAAGATTAGAGATCTCATTTGACCTAGCTATTCCCCTTCTTGGTATCTTTCCAAAAGAATTAAAAGCGTAATACCACAGCAATATATGCGCTCCCATGTTTATAGTGGCACAGTTTGTAACAGCTAAATCCTGGAAATAGTTGAAATGCCCATCAAATAATGAATGGATAAAAAAATGGGGTTTTTTTATACAATGGAGTACTACCCAGCCATGAAGAAGGACAAACTTGAGACATTTCTAGGTAAATGAATGCACCTTGAAACCATACTCTTAAGTGAAATAAATTGAACATATGTATAAATATTTCATTGTCTCTCTGGTGTGAGAAACTGAAAGTGTAAATAAGACCGAAATGTATAATAGATATTTTGAAATAGGAAGAAATTGTTCAAAATTATACCATGTGAGATACTTTGTTAATATTTAAAATCCTTTATGCAAAAAAGGTATAGTATTATTAGGAAATGAGTTGAGAGATAGATTTGTAAATGAAAATATATTCTTTTAAGATCATGATATGTACATAGTGTATTACCATTGTTATTCTCTAAATATTTTTGTTATGAAAAATTATTTTTTCATAGAACTGTTTTTATATTTGTTTATTAATATCTACTTGCATTACATTAAAATAAAAAAAATAAATGTAGGCAGAATTTCACAGTGTAGTTATCTGATCCTAGCCTTTTCTTTAGTGGGTTTTTGATTACTAAGTCTAATCCTTTTCTTATTATGTCTGGTAAGATTTTCTACTCCTTTTCAATCAGTTTAGGTAGTGGATGGATTTTAACTTTTATTAATTGAAAATACATGCTATTTTAATTTAGTTATATTTAGGTATCATATCAAAATCAATTTATTGCCTTATTTAAAGATTCTGAATTGTCTAAATTTGACAATCATGAAAACAAAACGTTAGCCAGAAGGTTAAGTTTATTTAGAGGCATTCTTCAAAAATACTGTGAATTTGGGTTTATACTACTTCAATAAAGTGAGTATCACAAATATTTTGGTTCCCAAGTATATATGAAAGTTATGTTTGCCAGGCATGATGGTGGTGCACACCTGTAATCCCAGTACTTGGAAGGCTGAGGCAGGATAATCACCATGAGATCAAGGCCACCCTGGACTACATAGTGAGCTCAAGACCAGCTTGAACTACATAGTGAGACCCTATCTAAAAAAAAAAGAATATTATGTTTATTTTATAATGTAATCCATTAAGTGCACAATATCATTGTGTCTAGAAAAAAATACATATATAAATTAAAAATATTTTATTGCTAAAAATACGTGATAATCTGATGTCATAATTTTTTTGCTGGTTTTACCTCAATGCTATTTCTTCTAACTAATGAAGGCAGTGGTTGCTGAAAGGTAGGGTGGCTCAGCATTTTCTTAAAATAAAGATAAGGATGAAGTTTGGAACATTGATTGACTCTTCTTTTCACGAAAGATTTCTCTGTAGGATAGGATGCTATTCGACAGTATTTTACCCACAGTACAGCTTTCCAAATTGGAATTGATAATCTCAAACTCTGCCAGAGTATTATCAAATAAGAAATATTCTAAATCATTTATTGTAATTTCAGCAATGTTCACAGTATCTTCTGCAGAAGCACATTTCACCTAAAGAAACCAAGTTCTTTGCTCATGCATTGGAAGCAGCTCTGCATGCACTGACATTTCACCATGGGATCACAGCGATGCCATCACATCTTCAGATGAGGCTTGTCATTCTTTCTCTTGCTATTTCTTCCACATCAGCAGTGACTACCTTCATTGGTCTTAAAGCCCTCAAAGTAATTTATGAGTGTTGTAATCCACTTCTTCCAAAGTCCTGTTAGTGTGGGTAGTTTTACTTCCTCTCATGAGTCGTGAATTCTCTTAATGGAATCTACCAGAGGAGTTACCATGGCACCTATAAGGATACAAAATGTATTTCTTTAGTAATAAGAGTTGAAAGTCAAAACGACTGACCTGTGTCATTAATGTCACATTAATTAATGTTAATTACTGTCACTGATCTTGTGCATCTGCCAGAGCTCTTGAGTGACCAAGTGTATTATTGATAAGCAGCAATATTTTGAAAGAAATCTTTTTCCCTGGCCAGTAGGTCTCAGCAGTGGACCTAAAATATTTATTAAACCATGTTGTAAAGAGACAGTTTCACCCAAGTCTTCTTACTCCATTTGCAGAGCACAGCAGAGTAGCTTGAGTGTAATTCTGAAGGAACCAAGGAGTTTTGGAATGGTGAATGTGCATGGTCTTTACCTTCATGTCATCAGCTGCATCAGCACCTAGAAAGAGAGTATCTGCCTGTTTTTGGAAGTTTGAAGTTAGGCCTTGACTTCCTCTCCCCAGCTATGGAAGTTTTGGGTGACATTAAGGCAGTTTAGTCTGTACTGAAAGTCGATTTACTGTGTTCACATTCATTCATTATCCTTGTGAGAAATGAAATCTAAATCTTCTGGATGACTTGCTACAGCTTCTGTGGCTGCATTTGCTGGATCATCTTGTATTATTAGGTAAAACCTAATGAATCAACTTCCTCTATCCTTAAATTTTTCTTCTGTCTCTTCCTTACCTCTCTTAGCCTCCATAGAATTGAGGTGAGCTCAGATCTTCCTCTGGATTATCCTTTAAGAAGATGTTGGGGCTGTTTTCATTTACATGAAGATTGTTGAAACACTCTCAATATCAACAACAAAGCTGTTTTGAATTCTTATATTTTTGTGTTCTCTAGAGTAGCACTTTTAATTTCATACAAGAATTTGTTCTTTGTTAAATACCAAATAGTTTCTCTGGTGTGAGAAATTGAAGGTGTAAATAAGATCAAAATGTATAATAGATAATGTGAAATATGGAGAAAAGATCAAAGGGGAAGGGGAAGTGTGATAGGTAGAGGAAAAGAAAGAAGAGAATGGAAATTAATATGAGAAAAGGAAAAAGCAGAAACAAAGTCTTTGCTCATAGGGAGGGTGAAAGGGTTGAAGGGAGGGCAGGGGAATTGGGAAAAAAATAAAAAGCAAGATATATCATGTAAAGGTACAAATTCCCAATGATAAATGTCATCATATTGTATATCTAAAATTTACCAAGAAACTTAATGAATAAAAAAAAAGAATTTTTCCTTTGCACTTGCAACTTGGGTGTTTGGTGTGAGTAGTTTTCAACCTATTTTGGCTTTTGACAATCTTCCATCATTAAGATTAATCATTTGTGGGTTTTTATTTAGCTAAGAGACATATGTCTCTTCCTTTCACTTGATACTTAATATCTTTGGAGAGTTACTGATTGACTTATTTTGGTATTCTTGTGTTTCAGAGAATAGGAAGGCCGGAAGAGAGGGAGAGAGGTAGGGGAACTGGCAGTGAGTGGAGAAGTCAGAACACAGGCAACGTTTATTGATTACTTCTGTCATATGAGTGTGGTTTGTGGTGCTCCAAAACAATTACAATATTAACATCAGAGATCATTGACAACAGATCACCCTAACTGATGTAATAATAAAAAGTTTTGAAATCTTGTGGGAATTATCAAAAATGTGATACAGAGACAGGAAGTGAACACGTGCTGCTGGAAAATGGAACCAATTGATCAACTCTACATGATTGCCACAAAGCTTAAATTTGTAAGAAACACAGTGTCTACAATATGCAATACACCAAAGGACAATAAAGCAAAAGCTGCCTGTATTTAGATACTAAACTTTCTCCTGTTCTCCCTCAATCTTTGTTTTCTCAACTAATTTTTTGGTTAATGGTCTATGAGGCCTCAGTTTATGAATCACTATTTTTATGTGATTATAGCTTTGCACATTTCCTTTAACTCTATTATGGAAAATTCCTGGTACTTATGTAATTTCTCTCTTAAATCTATTGCAGATATTATCAAACAATGAAGTAATTCTTTCTATGGAGCTATGGATTTGGCTTCAGAATCCTTCTCAACATATATAATACAACTTTTTAAAAAATCTCTATTCTGAGCTATCTCAAATTTATATCTCTAGTGGATTTCTCTTATAAAGTATAGACTCCTATTCAAAAGGTCCCCAGCTTATGATCATTCACCTTGTGATTGTTTGAACTTTATGCTGGTACAAAAGTGCCAGATATTTTTCACTTTAAGTACAGAATTCAATAAACTATATAATATATTTAACATTTTATTATAAAATAGGATTTGTATTATATGATTTTGCTAAACTGCTGTCTAATGTAAAGGTTCTAAGCACATTTAAGGTAGGCTAGGCTATGTTATGATATTGGTAGGCTAGTGTATTGAATGCATTTTTGATTTATATTTTGTACTTATTATGGCTTTTAGGGATTTAATACCATTATAAGTCAAAGTGTATCTATATAAAACTCTTTCAGTCACTTTTCTCTCACTGAGGCAATGTACCTAATATTCACATATTAAAAGAGTAGAAGTTTATTTTGGCTCATAGTTTGAGGGGAGTCAGTCCAGGCATGGCCAGCTGGCTCCAAGGCAGAAATAACACAGTAGAAGGGCATGGTGGAGAAAAGCTGGTAAACCCATGGCAGTCAGGAAGTAGAGACGAAGGGAGTAGCCAGCAACAAAATATATCCTTCTACATCATACTCCCAGTGACCCACCTCATTCAACTAGGCCCCTTCTCCTAATTGAGCTTCTGCACTCATCAGTGGATTCATTCACTGATTAGTATAGTGCTCCCATAATCCAATCACCTTCCTAAAGCCCCACCTCAGAACACGAGATTTTTTGGGGGACATTTTAGATCTAAATCATAGCCTTATGACCCTGCCCCCAAAGGCCCATGATAATGTTATTATGAGAAATGCATTTAGTCCATTACTAAGAATTACCAAAGTCTTAACAGCTCCAGCGTGGCTGAAAATACCATGTCCAAAGTCTCCTCTGAGACTCAAAGGATGCTATTAGTTGTGATCCCCCATAAAAACCAAAAAGAAAGTTAAATACTTCCAACGTACAATGGCAGGGGGTACACATTCCCATTCCAAAACAGAAAATAGGGGAATACAAAGGAATCATACCAAAGCAAGACCAAAACCCAGGAGGGCAAACATTAAATCCTGTAGCATCATGTCCAGAACCCTGGGAAGATTGTAGTAAGTATGGGTAGCCCCATCCTTTTGTTTACTGGTTGAAGACCACATGACTTCTCTCTTGTACTGGCTTTTCTCATGTCCTGTGGCTTTTCTTAGCAAATGTTCTAAATTTCTGCATCTCCAACTTCTTGCAGGCTCCAATGAACCTTTGGTTTTACTCTCACAACTTCACATATTGGCTTCTCCAAGGCACTTTCTTCTGAAATTGCGGTGGAAGACTTCATAACCCCATGACACTTACATTTTGCATGCTTGTAAAACCAGCATAGACTGGATAATGCCAAGTCTGCCACCAGGTCAAGCAATATCTAGGCTCTCATGGACCACAGTTGCAGCAGGCTCTGAGTGCCTGTTGGCTGAATTCAGGGGTACATTTCGCTAGGTGGCCCTGAATGAGCAGGATGTTCTAGGGCTCTCTTCTCAAAGCAATGATTTTCAAAGGGGTCTCTTCCACACCCTTGAGCAGAGATAGGTGAGGTCTGGTCAGTTCATGACCTTTCCTATTGTTGCCATGAGAATTACTTGGCTTCATTTTAATGGTGCTAATGTTTTAAGGACCACACTTTCCTTGACCCCAACTTTACAAGTGCTTCCTGTCTAGCCAATCTGCAAAATCTTCACATCTTTCAGCTCTGCTCTTTGCTCCCAATTCTCAATGGAGATCTGGCTAAAAGCAGCCAGCAGTACCCATGTTACAGTATGAATATTGGGCTGCCTTGAAATTTTCTCTGCCAGGTTAATTAGTTGGCCACCTTTAAGATTTTTAGCTGTAAATGTAGAACTAAACACCACCTTTGGTCTCCCATCAACAATACCATATATTATCTTCCTACTATGTGCCTAAAATCCTCATAACATTTGACTCTAACAATATCTCTTCAGAATTCATTTACATGATAGAAGCAAATATCAGGATTTTGTCTGAAACCTTGGTGCATGTTTCTCCACAGAATTCTGCCTCAACTTTCCTTCTAGTGTTCTTTTGTTTCAGTGCTGAGTGGAGGCCTGTCTTCTTTTCCCACTGCCTTCACAGATTTCATGGATTCCATATCTATTTTAAGTCATCCTCTGATGTTTTCTGTCTGGAAAGATGACCTCTCAAATATTTGTGCAACACTCTTTAAGCCAAATTTACAAGTATTATCATAATTTTCAATACTTTTGGTGTTTTTACAATGTTACTCACATTTTAAAAATTATTATTGTCATAATGTCTACTCAAATAGGAGAGAAAAAAATAAACAAGTATAATAAGTTCCCAGTTTATGAACAAGTTCCATTCTGGGAGAATGGTGTAAGTCAGATTCATTTGTAATTTTGACAAAATGAGTCTTAATACACCTTTGGAACAAATATACAATGTAAAGCATAAAACCCCAAAAATATATACACAAAAATAAACTATTTTATTGTAAATAAACTATTTTATTTTTACAGTTATGTTAAAATGGTAAGGTAGATATGTGAGTTACTTCCACAATTTGTCAACATCTATGCATTTTCATAATGTGAGATTCATTTGTATCTGTGAAAGTTTATAACTAGAATGTTTATAAGTTGGGGATTTGCTGTAATGAAAGTGAATATTTAGTACATTGGTGGCTTGGATCAAAAGACAGTGTTAGAGGATATAAGGAGTGTTCAGCTTCTGAATATATGATTTGAAAGTGGAGCCTGTAGAATTTTCTGACAATATTAGATATTAGGACAGAGGGATACAATGCCAAGAATAACTATGATTTCTGAAATGAGAAACTGAAGGAAAAAATTCTGTTTACTGTGATAATAAAGATCAGGAAAGGGGCCAGGTATGTGGTCCAGCCTATAATGCCAACATTCTGAGATGCTGAGACAGGAGGACCACAAATTTGAGCACAGCCTGAGTCACAAAGACCCTATCTCAAATAAAATAAAATAAGCCTGGGGATGTAACTCAGTGTGAAGGCACTGGATTTAAACCCCAGAATGGAAAAAAAAATCAGGAAAAGAACATTTTAAAAGAAAGATCAAGGGCCTGATATTGGTTACATAAAATTCAAGATTCTTGGTAAACATCCAAATAATAATAACACAGAGGAAGTGATTGCTATGGTTTAGATCTAAAATGACCTCACAAAGATTCATGTGTTTAGAAATGGGAATTTTAGAAGGTGATTGGTCCATGGGGGCATCATACTCATTGGGAGATTTGTCCATTGATGAGTTAATAGCTGAAAGTGCCACTAGGGGGTGGAGCCTGGTTGGAGGAGGTGGGTCACCAGGGAACATAACCTGAAACAGTTTCTGACAAGAGAAATCTTTTCTGCTTTTTGGTTGCCATAGGTTGAGCAGCTTTCCTTCACCATATCACTTCTGCTAAGCCTCTCTTGTTTTAAATTGGGGCTGTCAAATATATCAACCCAGAGATGGGAAGGTGGTTAATAAGGAAACTTGGTATTAGAGAAGTGGGTTAATTGCTGTGACTATACTTGAGTATGCAATTGGCCTTCGGAATTGGTTTGTAGAATACATTTGGAAATGTCTGGAGAAATGGGATAGAGAAGCCAGAATGTTGTAAGGAGAGCTTGATGGGCAATTCTGGTTGGAGTGCAGAAGACCAGACTTCTGATAGGAATGTGTACAGTAAAGACTAGGCTCTTAAAGTTTCAGATAGGAAAGAAGACTTTCTCATTGTGAACTAGAGGCCATGAACATTAGATTCTGGCAAAGACTTTGTCTGTGATTTGTCTATACCCTAAAACTTTGTGTGAGACTGAACTTAATAGAACCTTGAATCCTGCACTGAGGCCACCCAAATGCATATCTGAATCCAGATAATGGGTCCTCCCTCCTCATCTAGGAGAGGGTAAAATCCTTCAGCATTATATGCTTCAGTTATAACTTTCTTTGGGTTTCTGATTTGTTTAAGTGAGAAAAAAATTGAAAAAATAGTTTTATATCCAATGAAATAATTTAAGTCACACAAATAAGAAAATGTTTTAATTCAAAAGTTTATAGGACTGAATGTCAGGAAGATAACAGACTAAGAGGTCTCAGTATTCATCCCCTGATAAAAACAATCATTCTGTTTCACTTGGGACATCCCATCCCCCAAGCTGGCTCAGCTGGGCATCCCTTATCCATGGCATTCCCAAAGAGGGAAGGGAGGGTGGGAGGACACCAGCAGCCTCTGTCACAATCAAGGATCTTCATAGTCTCTGTTGATACAGACTGTGTTGTGGAGGTGCTTGGTGCTACCAACATACCCTTTCTCAGTGTTAGCATAACTGTGTCCATGTCT